CAGCTTCTCACATCTGGGCCCTGAGCCCCCCACCTTGGAGGAGGCAGAGGTCTTACCCTCCCCAGTGGGCAGCTCTTCCTCCAGAGCCCCCTGCCCAGCAGCCCTGTATCTCTCTGCCACCTGCCAGCGTCTCTCTTAATGGACTTGCTTCCTTCCACCTCAACCCCACTCAGTCTCTCTGTCCTAATGCAAAACCCCACCTACGCACAAATTTGTGCCTCCACTAGTGCTTGGAGCATCAGCCCTCTCTTCCTGCTTGTCCTGGAGTCAGGCAGGAGAGTGCTGTCTCCATGCACTGACACCACCACACCCCTCCCCTGCAGGCTGGCTGTTCACTCTGTTGCTCTTGGCTTCTTCCCATGGTCCTGAATGTGGCTCTGTGCCACAAATACTGGGGCCCACCTAGTCCTAAGGGTGCTCAACTTCTCCTTGATGCTTAACTTTCTCTGAATTGGGCTCCAGTCATTTGTGTTTTGAGAATCTTAACCTCCTTACCCAGCTACTCAAAGCTCCATAATTCCCAGTTTACAGACTTTGGGAAAACTGCTGTTCCCACCATGGCCAACCTAGGATGGTGGTCATGCCATTCTCAAGCACCCTGTCCCAGCCTGATGCTTAGGACCCCACTCTTGGGGTCCCATGTCTCAGACCCACTTAAGGAACAAGATCCCTTCACTGAGACCATCAAAACTTTGATGCTGCTCAACCCTTACTCCCTGGTTATGACTTTTTCTCACTGGAATCCCCACTGGCCCAAGGTAGAGAGTGACACACAACAGCAGGTTCTTAATGCAGGTCACCATTCATAAAGAAAACATACACCTGCTCCAAAAAATTCTGGGAGTCCTCACAGCCAGCCTGTTCTAAGAACAGGGAAGAATGAAGACAGAAGGACTCAGGCAGGTGAAAGGCAAAGCTTAGAGGGGGTGGAGATAGTCAAGCTGCACAGGGTTGGCCATTGTCAGAGCAGCTGGGGGTCTGAGAGGGCAGGGGAGCTAGACCTGGGAATCAGGGTATACAGTGGAGTCCAGGCCTGTCCAGTAGTCTGCACACCAGTGGGCTCCCCACTGTGATATCAGGGAACCCATTTTCCCCCTGGCTGTTTCATCAGTCTCACCCACTGGGCCTGTCTTGGGGGTCAATGTGGCACTTACTTATCTGAGGTGAGTTTCATGAGGGTGTGGCCCTCTGTGGAGTAGGTGATGAAGGATATCCGCAGTTTTGGGCTGGGGAGAAAGCACATGCTTGTGAGAAGTCACCAACACAGGTTGCAAATGATGAACGAGCAGCCAGGGAGAGGTGCATGACAGTTTCCCTGCCCCATCCCAATTCTTCTGCTTTGGGATCCATTTCCCAAACCCCAGAGCTTCCTATAACCTTAGTAAGGAATTCTGAGGTCTGTAAGATGTGTGGCCTTCTAGGAAGGGAGGAGTGTCCATCCTTACACTCACAATACCCCAGTAGTGTTTGTCTGTTTGCCTGTTTGTCTCTCTCTCTCTCTCATGTACACATGCATGTGCACGCACACACACAGGCACTCACACAGCTGCTCACACAGACAGCTGCATGCAAAAGGAGATAGACATCTACACACTCCTGCAGGAGGGACTTCCACCTGGCCTCTCTTCTGTAACATTCTTTGGAGCTTCACTGCCCTTCCTTCCTTGCCTGTCTTCCCCAGCTCAACTCTTCTCATCTCAAAGAAATTATCTTCCCCCTTGCCAGCCATTCATATACATCCCTCTCTTTCCTGCTCCTGTCCACTGTCTTCTGGTTTGTTGACCCTCATTATCCCTTGGCTAAATTGGTACCATAGGTCCCCAGCTGAATTCCCTACTGCTTTTAGCTCTTGTTCCCACTCATTTTACCCACTTTTGCCAAACTTTTCTTCTTAACACACTACCTTACTCATGTCAGACCTCTAATCATGAATCATCTGTTGCTCCCGATTGCTCACAGCAGGAGATCTAGGTCCTGCATGCTGGCATTATGAGCTGCTATGGCCATGGACCCAAGCTGACATGCGCAGCCTCATCTCCCGGCCCTTCCTTGAGTTAAACCTACTCTGCTGCCAAACAGACTACTCGCTCCACAAGAAGTCTCCCTGATGGTTCCTGTTACCCTGTCTTTCCCATCCATCAAAGCCTAGTTAATATTGCCACATCTTCTGGAAGTTATCCTTGAATTAAAATTCTTGCTTTTTCCTTAAGCTCATCATATAAGCCCTTTGCCTTTTCTTTTGACTCCTGACACCTTTAAACCAGGTGTTTAATTACTATGTTACTGGTTTGCCTGTTTCTTAATCTATTAGGTCCTCAAAGGCAGACTGTGTCCTCAGTCATATAGCTTCTCAGGCAGGAGCCAAGTAAAGCTGTTGGGGCCCTTGGAATCACTGCGATTTGTCTTTTCCTCACTGTGGGCTCTGTGCTCCTGCATGAAGGGACTCCAATGCTCACTGAGTCCAAACAGCTCTGTGCTGGGTTTAGCAGAGGAAATCACACTATTAACACAGAGAAGCCATACTTTTCGAACTTTTTGACAAAATCTTCCACAAGGTTGTAAATGTCCATCCAGTTGTTGTTCACACTGCCTGACCTGAAAATGAAGAAACATGAGTGAGAGGGATGAGTTACATCTGTCGTGTAGGAATAGTTTCTGCCTTCTCTGCCCTCCTGCAGGCTCTTCAGCAACCTCCTCATCCCTACTCTCTTCCACATAGCTAAAGTCTGCCACACACCTTCAGTGACTTCAGCGGGTCACCCTGGTGGTGACTTTCATCAGTGTGAATTATGGGAGACCTGTGTGCTTGGGACTGAGGGACTTCTGAGGTTGCCACCTCTGGTGGCAAACCAGGATATTTGGTCATGCTAGGTGAGACTGTTGGACAAGAAACAAGGGGGACGCATTGGTTGGCAAAGCCTCCACCAGTTCTGATCTGTTGGCTCTCCTGGTTGCCATTGTTTCCCAGATGAATGCTCCTCCCCTGCCCCTTGAAGGTGTGGGTGGTTTGGTGTGAGGCAGAGCTCTTTGGCACCACATCCCTACAAAGTACTCTTGGCTTTTCCTTTCTATTATTCCTTCTGCCTCTTCTAGGCTATATCTAAAACTGCCAGTAGATGATGAGGAAACTAAGGATAGACGTTTCTAATGATTTCAGGATTATTATTCATGGACACATACATACCAGACACTTTACATGCATGATTTCCAATTCCAGAGCAACCCTATGATATCAGCATTATTCCCATTTTACACATGAGATTCACAGGTCATGACATTTGCCACAATTTCCATAGTTAGCATGGATCTGAACCCAGATCTAGCTTCAAAACCCATGCTCTACCCATTGCACTAGGCAGATCAAGGTGAGTTGGACAATTGCTGGGTAGCAAATTACTAGACTCTGACAACCAACCTATGATGCAGACTTTATCTCAGAAGCTTCCATGCTAAAGTGCAGGACAACTTCCTTAATTTATGGTAACCCTTTCCATGCTCCTTCTTATTACTTTTCTTTCCTGTTTTCCCCCTGTGTGAAAAGGATCTTCCAAAGAAGATTTATAGGAAACAAGAGTCTGCAACTCACCTACTTACTCTGGGGAAGTTTCCAGTTTGTGATGATTTTGAAGAAAGGTTTAGACTCTAGAACATAGACAAACATGAGTATTCATTGGCCATAGAAAATACCACAGGACTTATAGATCCCTAGGAAGGAGGCAGTATGGAAAACAACTATGTGGGCTTCTAGTACAGAGAGTTCCAGTCATGTTCTAGTGACTCACTCTTAAATGAGAATGGAGATGATTAGCAGATATTTGAAGATATTGCTATCATTGAAGCTTGCGGCCAAAACACCCTAGTGATACAACTATGCTGGGAGAATGGAAAGGATGGGGAAAAATCAGATAGGGGAGCTGAGCTATAAGAAATATTAATTCCCTTTCCTCATAATAAGAAGTCAATAGAAAATGAGTAAATCTTGAACAGCAAAAAGCAGCATCAGTACTAACATGTTATTAGAAACAGGGTCATATTACCAGAAGAAAAATCTGCAAAATGATGGATAAAAACACAAGTCCCAACTAATTGCTTCCTGCCAGAGACTCATTAAGCTTTAAAGACACATGTAGGTTCAATGTGAAGGAACTCAAGATATTCCATCCAAGTGAAAACCAAAAGAAATTAGATAGTTATACTTATATCAGACAAAATAAACTTTAAGCCAAAAGTGGTAAAAAGAGTCAAAGAAAGTTATTACATAATGATAAAATGGTCAATACATCAAGAAGATATAACAATCATAAATACATATGTACTCAACATCTGAGCACGTAAATATATTAAGCAATACTAACAAATCTGGAGAAAATATAACAATACAATAATAACAGGCAACTTCAATGCCCCAGTTTCAGCAATGGATAGATCATCTAGGCAGAAAATCAACAAGGAAACATTGGAATTGAACCATATCATGGTCAAATGGACTTAATAGACATATATAGAATATTTCATCCAACTTTTGCAGAATGCACATTCTTTTCTGGTCCACACAGATTATTCTCCAGGATAGATCATACGACAGGACACAAAACAAATTTTAGCAAATTTAAAAATACTTAAATCATACCAGCTATCTTTTCCAACTACATGGAATAAAAAACAAGAGGAAGGAGCACCTGGGTTGCTCTGTTGGTTGAGCATCCAACTCTTGGTTTCAGCTCAGGTCATGGTCTCATGGTTAATGAGATCAAGTCCTGCATCGGGCTCTGCACTGACAGCACAGAGCCTACTTGGGATTCTCTCTTTATCTCTCTCTGTATCTCTGCCCCTTCCCTGCATGTGCTCTCTCTCAAAATAAATAAATAAACATTTAAAAGGCAAGAGGAAATATGTAAAGTCTACATTTATGTGAAAATTGAACAACATACTTTTGAACAACCAATGCATGAAAGAAAAAAAAACAAATGGGAAAAGAAAACCTTAAAAGTAATGGAAATGGAAACAAATAGCAAAACCTACAGAATGTTGCAAGTGCAGTTCTGAGAGGAAAATTTATAGTGATAAATGCATATATTAAGGATATAGCAAAATATAAAAAAACCCTTACTTTACATGTCAAGGAACTGGAAAAAAAAGAGAACAGATTAAGTCCAAAGTTAGCACAAGAAACAAAGTAACAAAGGTGCTGAAATACATAAATTTAACTTAAATTAGAAATAGAAGAGGAGACATTGCAACTGACACTATAGAAGTACAGGATCATAAGAAACTACTCTGAATAATTACATACCAACAAGTTAGAAAATCTAGAACAAATGGATAAATTCCTAGAAACACACAAACCTGCCAAAACTGAAACATGAAGAAATATAAAATTTGAATAGACCTATGTCTAGTAAAGAGATTGAATCAGAAAACACAAATCTTCCCAAAGAGAAAAGCCTGGGACCAGATGGTTTTGTAGGTTACTGTCACCAAACATTTAATGAAGAGTTAACACCAATCCCTTCCAAATTCTTTCAAAAAATGGAGAAGAGGGAACACTTCCAAACTGATTCAATGAGGCCTGAATTACCTTGATATCAAAGCCTGACAAATACTACAAGTACAGACCAATATCCTATAGGAATACGGATGTAAAAATCTTCAACAGCAACAAAAATCTAGCAAACTGAATTTAGCAACATATTAGAAGATTTTTATTCCATGACCAAGTAGGATTTATTTACACAATGGAAACATGGTTCAACATGCAAAAATCAAACAATGTAATTAACAGAATAGAAGAGAATTAGCAGAATAGATGGAAAAAAAAACCAACTACATGATCATTTCAATTGATGTAGAAAAGGGATTTGATAGAATCCAACATACTTCCTTCACAAAAATACTCCCACTAGGAATAGAGAAATGTTGTATGACAAACATAATAAGGGCCATATATGAAAAACCCACAGTTAACATATTGATGGTGAAAGACCAGAGCTTTTCCCAAGATCAAAAGTAATACAAAAATGCCCAGTTTCATAATTTCAATTCATTGTAGTATTGGAAGTCTAGCCAGATCAATTAGGCAAGGGAAAAAAAAGGCATCCAAATTGAAAAGGAAGATGTAAAATTATCTCTGTTCTTAGATATGATCTTACCTGTAAAAAACCCCATAGATTCCACACACAAAAAACTATTTGAGCTAATAAAAGAATTCAGCAAAATTTCAGGATACAAAATTAACATATAAAAATCAGTTGCATTTCGATATACACTAACAATGAACATTCCAAAAAGGAAATTAAGAAAATAAATCCATTTATAATATTATCAAACAGAACAAAATATTTATGAATAAATTTAACCAGAGGCAGAAGACTAGTACACTGAAAACTACAACATATGGCTGAAGGAACTTTATATTTGTTTAATGTTTATTTATTTTGAGAGAGAGAGAGAGAGAGAGAGAGAGAGAGAGGAAGGGGCAGAGAGAGAGGGGGAGAGAGAGAATCCCAAGTAGGCTTCACACTCAGCACAAAGCCCGACATGGGGCTTGATCTCATGACAATGAGACCATGTTTGGAGCTGAAATCAAGAGTCAGATGCTTCACTGACTAAGCCACCCCTTAGACCCTATGGCTGAAAGAAATTTAAAAGACACAAATCACTGGACTCACATATTCATGGACTAGAAGACCTAATATCCTAAAGCTGGCAATACTAGCCAAGGCTATCTACAGGTTCAATGCAGTCTTTATTAAAATGTCAATGATGGGGTGCCTGGTGTTCAACTTTGGCTCAGGTTATGATCTTGCAGTCTGTGAGTTTGAGCCCTGCGTTGGGCTCTGTGTTGACAGCTCAGAGCCTGAAGCCTGCTTCAGATTCTGTATCTCCCCCTCTCTCTGTCCCTGCCCTTCTCATGCTCTGTCTGTCTCTCTCTCAAAAATAAATAAAGATTAAAAAAAATTTTTTTAAAGTCAATGACTTTTTTCTTGCAGAAACTGAACAATCCATCCCAAAATTCATATTGAATCTTACGAGACCTTAAATAGTTAAAAAAAATCTTGAATAAGAGCAAAGGTTGTGGACTCACATTTTCTGGTTTCAAAATTTATTACAAAGCTACAATAATCGAAATAGTGTAGTACTGGCATAAAGACAGACATATAGACTAATGGAATAGAATAAAGAGCACAGAAATAACCCCTCATATATATGTTCAGTTGATTTTTGACAAGGATGCCAAGGCCATTCAATGTCGGAAAGGACAATATTTTCAACAGATGGCGCTAGGAAAACTGGATGTTCACATGCAAAACAATGTAGTTAGGCTCTTATGTCATCCACAAAAATTAATTCAAATGAATCAAAACCTAAATGTAAGAACTAAAAATATTAAGCTTTTTAGAAGAAAATATAGGGGAAACCTTCATGCTGTTGGATTTGGTAATGGTATTTTGGATATGGCAACAAAAGCACAGGTAATAAAAGAAAAAACGGATCAGACTTCATCAAAATTAAAAACTATTGCATGATTCCACTTATATGAGTTACCTAGAATAGGCAAATTCATAGATATAGAAAATAGAATAGAGGTTCCCACGGTTTGGGGAAGGATGAATGGGGAAATAGTGTTTAATGTATACAGATTCCAATGACTTCTGTCCTCATCAAAGCACATAAGCCATGGCTAGCTTGAGGGGTTGTGAGGGGTCCTGAGAAGGAAAAAATAAAAGGCATGGGATAGTTCACCAAAAGTGGTACACAGATCAACAGACTGTCCCTGCATAGTCCTGTTCTGTTCACCTGAGCTGACGGAGAAGCTGTGAGAACACAAACATGCTGAGTACGGATGCTCTTTCAAGGATGCTCCTTCAGCTGTCATCCCCTCTAAGATCCTTTCACCTGCAGAGTTGCCTTACCTAAGAGCATGCCTTTCCTGAGGTTCCCACCTGAAGTGACTGATGGCCCAATCGTTTGGCTCAACTTGGCACAGCCCTGAAGGCGCCTTTTAGCTCCAAAGCTCCCCACGAATCAGGTGAGGCTGTCATGTCTGCATTGAAGCTCCACTGAATCCTATTTTTGCCTGTTCCCTTGCACAGATATTAATGTCAAGGCATCCCCTAATGAGCATCCTGCACAGGCTTCGTCCTTGGCCTGGATGGGTCCTGAAGCTCTCCCTCTCTCCTCCATGGAAACCCCTCTTCCTCCACCAGTGCCAGACATGTGGGTGCTCCCTAATTTCTGTCTTCCCTTTCTCCTCTCGGTAGACACACCTGTTCTGAGCTCCTAATTTTTTCTCCAGCCTCACAGTCCTCCTGGGACCTTCTAGGCCCTTCCCCTTTCCACTCCAGCCATGCTATCATCCTTCCCCCTTCCAATCTATCCTTCCCAAGGCAGCCAAGAGGTATTTTTGAAAACACAGTTCTGATCCTTCTCTCCTTTGATAAAAGTGATTCTTTCAATAATGTCCAGATGCCCTTGAAGTGAAAAACACACCTCTACATGTGCGCAAGGCCTCACTACTGGCCTGTCCCCTTCCCTTCTCCCCCTTCTCCCCCCGCCCCCAGGATCCTCTGAGGGCCTCACTTCTCAGGCCTTTGCACTGGCCACTCCCTCAGCCTGGAGCTCCCTGGCCCACCATCTCCCTGGTGCCTGAGAAAATAGTGCAGGCACACAGCAGGGCTCACTAATTTTCATCCAGTTCAATCTAGTGTATGACCAAATAAATAATGAATCTAGTGAATAAGGTTGGAGTGAACCACTCAAGGCTTTCCTGCAGGTGACAGAGTATGTTTGCTTCCAAAACCACCGCAGGGACCCACTCAGCCTCAGGGACTTTGGAATGGGCTTTGGAGGGAGACATTCCAGAGTTTCAACTCCTGTTCCATGTCTTCCCATCTGAGGGCTTTAGGGGGTCATTCCTTGGCCCTGCGTGGCTTCCTTCCCTCATCTGTGAAATAGGGGTAATAACATTTACCTACAGAAGACTCAGCGATGAAGCTGCTTCCCCCTTTACCCTTGTCCCCAGTCCAGAGAAATGCCCCAGTCATGAGCAACTCCCGCATTCAATATGTATAGATTCTTCAAAATAGATCCAGAATCTGTCCACTCAGCACCTCCACCCCTGCCCTACTGGTCCATACTCCCATTATCTCCTCCCTGAATCCCTGCATTAGCCTACCCCCCCACTCACCACCACCACCACCACACTGGTCTGCCCTTGGGCCCTTCATTTGTGATCTTTTCAGCCAAGACCCAATGGCATGCCCTCTCTGCTCAAAAACACCCTCTTATCCCCCTTCGTCTTCTAGTCTGTCAGCCCCACCTTCCCAGACCACCTCTTCAGAACAGGCCCTCCCTCAGCACTTCCCATCCTTCCATTCCGGCCCCCACCTCCAGCCTGTGCTAATCCCATCTGACACACTACTTCCTCTCCTCTTTTATTTATTTTCTCTCTCCTCATGGAAACTCCAGGAAGTGTTTGATGCCTTATCCCCATGCCCAAACAGTGACTAACATACTCAGTTGCTCAGTCATTACTTGTGAGTGGACGAATTGTTAAGGGAATGAATGAACGAATAGAACTGCTCATCACATGGGTGAGAGGTCCCAGAGAGCCTTGGCAGAGTCAACAAGCAGAGGCATTTGACCTCTACCCTGGCACCCCAAAGGGCAGTTCAGAAGAGAGCTGATCCAGGGAGGACAGGGGGGCCCTGCAGTGCTGGGGAGTTCCCAGCCCCAGTGTGCATGACTCTGCCTTCTCTAGTAGCATTTTATACTCATCTTCCACAATTGTATCTGCTGCTGTGCTGGGAAAACTGCCTCCAAACTCGCCTTCATCCTCATCACAACCTGGTGAGGTGGGTATGAAGATCCCCGTCATACATACGGGGACCCTGAGGCACAGAGAGGTGAAGCAGTTTGTTCAGGGGTTCGTGACTGGTGAGTGCCGTCTGCCTGACTTGCACACTTGGGGCTGCTCCCTCAGTGGTCATTACTCCCCTTTCCCCAAGAGCCACAGGGAGAAGTGCCTGATGGAGTCTGTCCTCACCCTCCAGGAATTTCTCATCAAGCTGGCCCTCAAAGGAAGTGTAAAGCCTTCTTCAACCAGACTGGGTGTGCGCAGGTCCTGGGGAGATGGTGTTATTTCCCTGGGGCTGAGGAGTTTGCTATGGTTTCAGACAAGCCTGGCCTGGTAAACCATAGGCAGGATCTAGCTGGACTCCTCACTGATGACCTGGGGCTGGGAAAGGGGTGTGTAAGGGCTCTTTCATGGACACCCTCAGCTCCTCTCCAATCCGCACAATCCAGCAGGATTCAGTCCTGACACTTGTTCTTCTGGCTTGTCAAACTGAATGACCCAGAGAAAGGCTGTCAACCCCCTTACTGCCTTTCTACCCCCAGCCCTAATGCCTAAGAGAGAAACCTCCATCCCCCTTGGCCGTGCCAAGTATCACTGAGGCAAGACCTGCCCAAGGCAACTCAGAAGTCCCTCCACAGGACAATGAGGAAGGACTTATTCCAGTGGGCAGGGTGGCTCCCATCTCTGCTGGCTTTGCTTAGAAGCTGGTGGCTGAACACACATCCCCCTAGTCATCAGCCTCCATGGAGAATAGAAGGACTCAGAGGCAGTACAGCCTGGGATGCTGCCATCAGGACACACAGGAAGCTGAGTCTTGCCACGCCCATCAGCTTTGGGGCTACTTCATCCAGCCTTTAAATGCCACCCTCTTTCCATGAGATCGCAAATGCAAATGCCTCTCTACTCTACATTCCACGGTGGTTTTGTGGATGACAGAAGTGCAGTAGAAGGGCTTTGGAGACCAAAATGTGCTTCAACAATATTATCAACAATCATATCACTGATAGTATTGACTCACTAAAGTTCATTCTCAATCCAACAGACAAGTTGCAAATGGAACCAAAGCAATGTCTCCAATCTCTCCAAGCATGAAGATCCGTCCCCTTTTGAGGATCACAAGGTGCCCTGCTTCCCAGGACAATACCAGGTCAGACATAACTGTTCTCAAAGTGCAAACAAACTGTAACTAGTCTCCAAGCAGTTGAAGAAGAAAGCAAAACCATTGGCAGGAAAACAAAGGGCTTTCTTTTCTTTTCTTTTCTTTTCTTTTCTTTTCTTTTCTTTTCTTTTCTTTTCTTTCTTCCTTTCTTTCTTTCTTTCTTTCTTTCTTTCTTTCTTTCTTTCTTTCTTTCTTTCTTTTTAAAGTTTATTTATCTATTTTGATGGGGTTGGGGCAGAAAGAGAGAAGGAGAAAGAATTCCAAGCAGGCTCCCGGTTGTCAGGGCAGAGCCCGCTGAGGTGCTTGATCACTGTGAGATGGTGACCTAAGCCAAAATCGAGGGTCAGTCGCTTGGGGCGCCTAGGTGGCTCAGTCGGTTAAGCATCTGACTTCAGCTCAGGTCATGATCTCATGGTTTGTGAGTCCGAGCCCCACTCAAGCCCCACTCGAGCCCCACTCGAGCTCCACGTCAGGCTCTGTGCTGACAGCTCAGAGCCTGCTGCCTGCTTCAGATTTTGTGTCTCCCTCTCTCTCTCTCTCAAAAATAAACAAATAATAAAACATTAAAAAAAGGAGAGAGATGCATGACTGAACCACCCAGGTGCCCCGGGAAAACAAAGGAATTTCCAAACTGTGACACTATGAGAATGCCCAGTAGAAGCAACACATAATCTCTCTGGGGCCAGTAAAAATAAAACTTTTCACTCACTTGGGTGGAAAACAACATAAGCAAAACACCTCACAAAGTAGAAACTGAAACCCAGCGAGCTTCTAACAACTGCTGAGAAGGAACTTCTAGCAGTCACCTGCCTATCCAGCTATTTAAGGGGCATGCAGGCCACAGATCCAGTCCATGCTGGTGGGAGGACTGAGAGCCATTCAGAAACCTTATGGTGGCCTTTTATTCTCTCAAAAAGGAAAAGTCCCAGAGAACAAATTTTGGGGGCATTCCTTCTCCCTCAGGAACAAGGGGAGACACAGAGGTTCCTTGGCTCTGACCAAGGTTACTCCCTGGCCCCTCCACTCACAGAAGCTGGCATCCCCTTTGGCCACCCACCACCTGCCCATATTGACTTCAGGGACCACACCACGCTGGGACGCTGGGTAGGGCAGGAGGACCACTCACTTATCCAAGATGAAGTAAAGGTCATATGCGCTCTGGCAGGATTGCCTTGTATCTTTTTCCGGGTTATCCCGGGAATAGTGGCTGCGGAGGTGGTGGACAGTTCCCCCCTTTGGGCGGAGGTAGTTATGGAGGCTTTTCCCACTTAGAACGAGGCCATGCAGGTCTCTGGAGCCCCGGACACTGTGCCGCAAACTTCCGGCTTTCAGCAGCGGAGGCCGCAGCACCAGCAGCAGAAACAGCGCAGGGCCCAGCACACCCAGGCCGTAGCTCCCCATTTTCCTGGCCACCTTCTTGGAGCTGCTGGCTGCTGGCCGCTTCAGGTCACCTCAGGCGGCTGCCTCTGGAGACTCCGCCTGTGCCCTGGGGCTTAGGTTCCCAGCAGCACTTTCCCAAGGCGCACTTCAAGCCTGCACCTGCTATCTGCCCTTTGGGCGGAAGAGGCAAACAGCTGGCTCTGGGGCGATGGGCCCAGTACCTGCTGGCCCTTCCCCCACGCAGCTGGGGCAGAAGGCCTTGTTATGATGGACAGGGGGGTTGGCATGGTGACTTTGTGACCTGCATCTCTGCTCAGTGTCCTGCTTGTTGACAACCCCAGGCAGGAGTCATGGTATCTTTAGATGGGGGGGGAGATGAGGCCTCCATTTGTCTCTTATCCTAAACCCTCACAGGTGGCCATTAAAATCTCCAAGACTCTCTTTTTTTATAATTCAAAGAAGGCAGCTGAGGTGGCTTAGATAAGGACATCCCTGTGAGTGTTCACGAGGTCAAGGAACTGGGAGACTAGAGTACAGTAATTAATGGTCATTGGTGAATACTGAAGTCACCTGTGGACATGGAAGGATCTAGAAGGAGAAGAAGGCAGTGCAGTGTTACCATAGTCCTTTGTGAATGAGGGACATTCCTGTTACCTACTCCTGTGTAACAAACTACCCCCAAATTAATGACATAAAACATTTTATATGCGCACAGTTTCTGTGGATCAGAAATGCAAAGAGGGCTGAGTGGGGATGGCTTGTCTCTGCTTCATGGAAAAACATGGAAAACCCATTTGGTCTTTCATATAAATTTTAGAAGCAGCACATCCTCAGTGCTCCCCCAATCTTCTTAATCCTCGATTACAGTAACATTAAATATATAGATACACTTGGATGCATTTGAATCTGCCCTCTAGACTCCCCTATCAGTGAACCTGGCAATGTTCTCATTTATCTACTTGTTTTCCAGCACCTTTCAAATAAACTTCCCTATGAAGATCTTCACTTTTTTTCTCAAGTGCCTTCCCTAAATACCTTATATTTTTGCTGTTATTGTAAATGGCATTTAAAAAATAAAGCTTTTAAACTGTTTATTGGTGTTGTGGACAAATGTATTAATTTCTTGATTATTCACACAGCTTGTTAAGCTTTTTTATTCTAAAATATATCTGTAGAGTGGTTTTGGTTTTTCTATAAAAACAAAACCCAAAAAACATTGCTCTGACGAGTTCTCCAATGACATGTTGGCTGGAAGGTGTGATGGAGGTATTATTGATTTTAAAGAGAATACTTCTGGGGAAGAGCAAAGATGGCAGAACAGCATGGATGTTTTTTGTGTGTCTTGCATCCATGAGATACAGCCAGACCAATGCTAAGCCATCCTGCACACCCAGAAAACTGATCTGAGGATTAACACAACAATCTGCACAAACTGAACCACAGAACTCAGCAGGTACACAGTGTGGAAAGGTGAACTTGGGGAGAGAGAAGTCACGGAGGGCAGGGAGCTGTTTTGCATGCGGAGAGAGGACAGAGATGGGGGGAGGGGAGAATATGGGAAAAGCACCCCCGTGCCCCAAAAGCAGCTGGAGAGAAAGCGGGAAAGTGGAAATAGCCACAGGGACTGAACTAAAAAGGGATAAAGGAGAAAGGAGAGGGTTTAAATTCCATTAAGACTATAAACAGGGGGAGCTCAGAGACTGAAACTCTGAAGCTTGATACCTGGAGGAGCTCTGGTGGGAAGGGTGAGTCCCCAGGAGCAGAGTGGAGTCCGGGGTTCTTCAGGCCACATGGGGAGAGGCGGTTCCCTTGCTGAGAGGACACCTGGTAGAGGTTGTGTGGGTTCCCCATAGGCAAGGCCCCAGTGGACCTAGGAGAACAACTACATTCGCTGGTGCTGGAACAAGGTCATTAAGGGTGAAGCCTGGTGCCAGATGTGTATTGTGACTTTCCCTAATCCCTGAAATGCTGCTGGTACACTATCTCGCAAACTTTTTCTGGGGCGGGCTGGCACCTAGCCACAGTTTCTGGGTACTGGCAGCAGCATGGTTCTGCAAATGTTCCTGGGTGCAGCCAGCACCAGCCATTGCTTTGTGAGACCCTCCACAGAAGGGCAGAACGGGTCAAAGCTGCTGTCCCTCAGAAGTAAGGAGTCGGGAAAAACAGCCACATATCAGACAAAACTCAGGAGGGAAGTGCTTACTGGGACTTGGTCACAACAGTGTAAAAGTGGGGAGTGGATGAAAGCTGAAGACAAAGGACGGGTGTGCGATTGTTGATTGGGGAGAAGAGAGTTCTGATACTAGAGACTGGGTAGTTAGGTGATGCCATTTTCACCACTCCTGCTCATGTGCATATGCACCTACAAGCGCCACAACAATCCACCCCAGTAAGCTAAGCAGCGCTATCTAGTGGAGAATGGAGCTGTTACACTAAGCCCCACCCAACTGGGCCAACCTTGCTCTTCAGGATCACAAGTCTCTCCTCCTGCTTAGTTTATGGACTATAAAGCGCTTCATAGTTTGACTTCTAGGGAAAAATGAAGTAATTTCAGACATTTCAGTCTGTTCACTGGTCCATCTAAAAACTTTCTTTCTTTCTTTTTTCTTTTTCTTTTTTTTCTTTTTCATTTCTTTTCTTTTTCTTGAATACAGAAAGAGAAGAAATTCATTTTTATTTTCAATTTTTATTAAATATGTTTCTTTAATTTTTTTCTACTATATTTTTTACTTTTGTGTAAATTTTTTCAAATTCTATTTTACTGCCATCATTTCAGTTTAGTCTCCTTCTGTGTATTCATTTTTTCAAATTTTCAAATGATTTCCTTTTTTTTTCTTTCCCCTTTTTTCTCTAATTTACAAAGCTCCTTTCAACACCCAGACCAAAACACACCTTGGATCATTTATTCGATTTTTTTTGTGTGAATGTGTTTATTTTTAATTTTTTAAATTTTAATATTTTTTTCATTTTAATATTTTTAAAATTTTAATTTGTTTTACCCCATTAATTCCTTTTCTTCCTTCAAAATGATGAAATGAAGGAATTCACCCTAAAAGAAAGATCAAGAAGAAACAACAGTCAGGGACATAACCAACACAGATACAAGCAAGATGTCTGAACCAGATTTTAGAATCAGGATAATAAGAATACTAGCTGGAGTTGAAAATACATTAGAATCCCTTTCTGCAGAGATAAAAGAAGTAAAAGCTAGTAAGGATGAAATTAAAATGCTATAACTGGGCTGCAATCTCAAATGGATGCCATGGTGGCAAGGATGGATGAGGCAGAGCAGACAATCAGTGATATAGAGGACAAACCTATGGAGAATAATGAAGCAGAAAAAAAGAGGGAGATTAAGGCAAAAGAGCAGTATATAAGAATTAAAGAAATCAGTGACTCATTAAAAAGGAACAACATCAGAATCATAGGGGTCCCAAAAGAGGAAGAGAGAGAAATAGGGGTAGAAGGGTTATGTGAGCAAATCATAGTGGAAAACTTTCCTAACCTGGGGAAAGACATAGACATCAAAATCCAGGAAGCACAGAGGACTCCCAGTAGATTTCAACAAAAACGGACCATCAACAAGGCATATCACAGTCAAAGTCACAAAATACTCAGGCAAGGAGAGAATCATGAAAGCAGTAAGAGAAAAAAAGTCCTTAGCCTACAAGGGGAGACAGATCAGGTTTGCAGCAGACCTATCCACAGAAACTTGGCAGGCCAGAAAGGAGTGACAGGATATATTCAATGTGCTGAATGAGAGAAATATGCAGCCAAGAAGTCTTTAACCGGCAAGGCTGTCATTCAAAATAGAAGGAGAGATAAAAAGTTTCCCAAACAAAAATTGAAGGGGTTTGTGACCACTAAACCAGCCTGCAAGAAATTTTAAGGGGGACTCCCTGAGGGGAGAGAAGATGAAAAAGAAAACCGAAATAAATAAAGACCAAAAGCAACAAAGACTAGAAAAGGCCAGAGAACACCACCAGAAACTCCAACTCTACAAGCAACATAATGGCAATAAATTCATATCTTTCAGTACTCGCTCTAAATGTCAATGGACTGGGGCGCCTGGGTGGCGCAGTCGGTTAAGCGTCCGACTTCAGCCAGGTCACGATCTCGCGGTCCGTGAGTTCGAGCCCCGCGTCGGGCTCTGGGCTGATGGCTCAGAGCCTGGAGCCTGTTTCCGATTCTGTGTCTCCCTCTCTCTCTGCCCCTCCCCCGTTCATGCTCTGTCTCTCTCTGTCCCAAAAATAAATAAACGTTAAAAAAAAAAA